TTAAGCTTACAAAACATTGACGATGAAGTCATGACAAAACATTTACTATGAAGTCATGACAAAACATTGACGATGAAGTCATGACAAAACATTGACGATGAAGTCATGACAAAGTCTTTACGATGAAGTTTTGACAAAACATTTACGATGAAGTTTTGACAAAACATATACGATGAAGTCTTGACAAAACATTGACGATGAAGTCATGACAAAACATTGACGATGAAGTCATGACAAAACATTGACGATGAAGTTTTGACAAAGTCTTTACGATGAAGTCATGACAAAGTCTTTACGAAGAAGTCTTGACAAAGTCTTTACGATGAAGTTTTGACAAAACATTTACGATGAAGTTTTGACAAAACATTTACGATGAAGTTTTGACAAAACATATACGATGAAGTTTTGACAAAGTCTTTACGATGAAGTCTTGACAAAGTCTTTACGATGAAGTTTTGACAAAGTCTTTACGAAGAAGTCTTGACAAAACATATACGATGAAATCATGACAAAACATATACGAAGAAGTTTTGACAAAACATATACGATGAAGTCTTGACAAAGTCTTTACGATGAAGTCTTGACAAAACATATACGAAGAAGTCTTGACAAAACATTGACGATGAAGTTTTGACAAAACATATACGATGAAGTCTTGACAAAGTCTTTACGATGAAGTCTTGACAAAACATATACGATGAAGTCATGACAAAGTCTTTACGATGAAGTCATGACAAAACATTGACGATGAAGTTTTGACAAAACATATACGATGAAGTTTTGACAAAGTCTTTAATGAAGTTTGACAAAGTTCTTTACGAGAAGTCTTGACAAAGTCTTTACGATGAAGTCTTGACAAAACATTTACGTATGAAGTTTTGAAAAAGTCTTTACGATGAAGTTTTGACCACTTTACGATGAAGTCTTGACAAAACATTGAAAAAGAAGTCATGACAAAGTCTTTACGATGAAGTTTTGACAAAGTCTTTACGAAGAAGTCTTGACAAAGTCTTTACGATGAAGTCTTGACAAAACATATACGAAGAAGTCTTGACAAAACATTGACGATGAAGTTTTGACAAAACATATACGATGAAGTTTTGACAAAGTCTTTACGATGAAGTTTTGACAAAGTCTTTACGAAGAAGTCTTGACAAAGTCTTTACGATGAAGTCTTGACAAAACATTTACGATGAAGTTTTGACAAAGTCTTTACGATGAAGTTTTGACAAAGTCTTTACGATGAAGTTTTGACAAAGTCTTTACGATGAAGTCTTGACAAAACATTGAAAAAGAAGTCATGACAAAGTCTTTACGATGAAGTTTTGACAAAGTCTTTACGAAGAAGTCTTGACAAAGTCTTTACGATGAAGTCTTGACAAAACATTGACGAAGAAGTCATGACAAAGTCTTTACGATGAAATCATGAAAATTCAAGAGGTGAAGTCTTGACAAAACATATACGATGAAGTCATGACAAAACATTGACGATGAAGTCTTGACAAAACATATACGATGAAGTCATGACAAAACATTGACGATGAAGTTTTGACAAAGTCTTTACGATGAAGTCATGACAAAGTCGTTACGAAGAAGTCTTGACAAAGTCTTTACGATGAAGTTTTGACAAAACATTTACGATGAAGTTTTGACAAAACATTTACGATGAAGTTTTGACAAAACATATACGATGAAGTTTTGACAAAGTCTTTACGATGAAGTTTTGACAAAGTCTTTACGATGAAGTCTTGACAAAGTCTTTACGATGAAGTTTTGACAAAGTCTTTACGATGAAGTCTTGACAAAACATTGACGAAGAAGTCATGACAAAGTCTTTACGATGAAATCATGAAAATTCAAGAGGTGAAGTCTTGACAAAACATTGACGATGAAGTCATGACAAAACATTGACGATGAAGTTTTGACAAAACATATACGATGAAGTCATGACAAAACATTGACGATGAAGTTTTGACAAAGTCTTTACGAAGAAGTCTTGACAAAGTCTTTACGATGAAGTTTTGACAAAACATTTACGATGAAGTTTTGACAAAACATATACGATGAAGTTTTGACAAAACATATACGATGAAGTTTTGACAAAACATATACGATGAAGTCATGACAAAACATTGACGATGAAGTTTTGACAAAGTCTTTACGATGAAGTTTTGACAAAGTCTTTACGATGAAGTCTTGACAAAGTCTTTACGATGAAGTTTTGACAAAACATTTACGATGAAGTTTTGACAAAACATATACGATGAAGTCTTGACAAAACATTGACGATGAAGTCATGACAAAACATATACGATGAAGTCATGACAAAGTCTTTACGATGAAGTTTTGACAAAGTCTTTACGAAGAAGTCATGACAAAGTCTTTACGAAGAAGTCTTGACAAAGTCTTTACGATGAAGTCATGACAAAGTCTTTACGATGAAGTCATGACAAAACATTGACGATGAAGTCATGACAAAACATTGACGATGAAGTCATGACAAAACATATACGAAGAAATCATGACAAAACATTTACGATGAAATCATGACAAAACATATACGATGAAGTCTTGACAAAACATTGACGATGAAGTTTTGACAAAGTCTTTACGATGAAGTTTTGACAAAGTCTTTACGATGAAGTTTTGACAAAGTCTTTACGATGAAGTTTTGACAAAGTCTTTACGAAGAAGTCCTGACAAAACATTTACGATGAAGTTTGACAAAGTCTTTACGATGAAGTCTTGACAAAACATATACGATGAAATCATGACAAAACATATACGAAGAAGTTTTGACAAAACATATACGATGAAGTCTTGACAAAGTCTTTACGATGAAGTCTTGACAAAACATATACGAAGAAGTCTTGACAAAACATTGACGATGAAGTTTTGACAAAACATATACGATGAAGTTTTGACAAAGTCTTTACGATGAAGTTTTGACAAAGTCTTTACGATGAAGTCTTGACAAAGTCTTTACGATGAAGTAGTTAGTATACAAGTCTTGGTTATGGTGGCACTGCGTTTCTCCGTACGCAATACTTGTGAATTTGACACTTTACAAAACCGTTAACGTATATTTTACAACATGAACGCAAAAACTAACTTAACCTTAAATATTTACAAAGCCACCAACCACTTCACTAACGAGCTCACTAATGTAAAAATAAACGTTCTCACTATCATTCTCATTAACGAATTCACTAATGTTCTCATAAATTTTCCTCAATATCTTCATCATCAGTGTTAACCCTATTGTAGTCATACTTGAAGCCATAAACTTTCTCTAACTTCTTAACGTACAATTTACATAACTTACCTTCGTCATCGTATGGTTTAATGATATAACTATTTCTATCTTTATACACAGTCAATGAAAAGTCAACTGGTCTCGGATGTATTTGAAAGAACATGTTATGCTCAGGAAGGAAGAATAAATGTTTAAATGTATGTTGTTATATGTTTTGATTTGTATGAGTTGCTTTTGTTCTGTCATTTATATAAAATAAACTTAAAAATAAAATAAAAATAAACGTTGTCAGAGGTGAAAAAATAATGTTTATGTTAGAATGTTAGATCTAACACGTTTTCTAACACGTTTTCTAACCTTGTGAATTCATTACTTTATAACTCTCTTCCTTTCTCCAACTCTTCTAACTTCTTCTTAAGTTCAGCAATGTTGTCCTCATGAAGTTTAATCTTCCTTAATATACCTTCTCTATCTAATGGTTGCTTTATCTTTCTAAACTGAACTCTACCATCCTTCATAGTATGAATGTAAAAACCTTCTGGAATAGTTCCTGATTTAATGTATTCTACCAAAAATTTGTTTCATTGCTTCAGTGACTTTAGTCGTCATTTCAATCAAATAAAAAAAATTTAATATTAAATAAAAATAACGTTATTTTTCAGTAAGGAAACGGCAGAGGTTTTACGATTTATTTGAGGAGTAGGTTCTGGTTTAAATGTTGGAGTCGGTTTAGGAGTTGACTTTGAAACAGGAGTTTGTACTTCCATAGGTTCAGGAGTCATTGAAGGTTGCTTGTGAAGGCGTTGGTTTTGACGTTGGTTTTTGGCGAAGTGTTGGAGTTTGTTTAAACTTCAGCTTACTTCAGTATTATTTATAACATTTGCTTTATTTTTTCTTTTCAACATCATAACTGCTCCTGCTGTAGCTAGCAAACCTAGTGGGAGACCATATCTTATATAAGGACTTGACCAAATGCTATTTTTGACAGGAGCTGGTGGAACACCTAACCTTGGTGAGACTGCTCTTTGCCATTGTGCAGCTCGTAAGAAATATTCAATAGGTGCTCCATAATCGTTTGGTAAAGTTTGTTTCACAGATGGTGAAGGTTCACGAGAGCTTGATGAAGAACTCATTTATAAGCTTTAAAAATAAACGTTCATCCTTTATTCCTCACTGTCGTCAGCTGCTAAGTTATAGTCGTCAAGTCTTATTATTGGTATGCCTGACTGTCTTACTTGTATTGCAAAGCAACAATCCCTCATAAATCCAATAAGTGGCTTTGGTACTTTTCAGTTGCTAGTTCAATAGGTCCTTTAACAGACAATTTGTATGTTATTGGAGCAGTAGATGTTTGACCTTGCTGGAAGCAAAAGTCCACTTCTGTTGGAAAACCACATAAGAAATGTGTATTGTCATAGCTATCCCATTTATGTTCCACACTACCATCATCCACCAATGACCTCATAACATCTTCATTAAATCCAATCATATCATTGTTTGTATTGCAAGCGTTCGCAACCATTTCATAAAATACAGGTCCATATGATTTTTCAGGTTCTGCAGGCATATTTCCATAAGCTCCCATGGAAAGCTGAAGATATTTAAACTTAGGGTTCTCAAAATTAACATAATAGTTGTCTTTCTTTCTAAATAGTGCCCAAATACTTTTAACATTAATAGGCGTATAAGCTGCTGTAAATGTTGCACTTGAACTATCTGTATTCTTTGAGAATGAACCATCCATAGGAATCCAATCCATAACTTTAACAGGAAAACATAAAGCCTCGTTTGTATAATGTTCTACAAGTTCTGTATAAATGTTAGGGTCTAAAGAGAATGACTTTGGATGAATAAAACATTCATTAAAATCCATCTTTGTTCGAAATAGTTGCTGGGTTACAGTTGTAATAGTAACTGTTCCACTAGCTTCAGTTGCACTCGTTATCATAGTGAATGGTTCATTCCATGGAACAAATTTATTTGTCGGTGGATTTGAACCTGAAGCAAATGCAACTTTAAGAGTTGGATTGAAAGCAATGATATCATTTACAGATATAGATGTGCATTGTAAGGCGTCGCTACTGAACTTTACTTTAAGCTGAATGTTTCCTGCAAAAGCTGGAATAAATCGAATAGCTTCTAATGGAAGGAATCTTCTAACAGGAATTCTTAAACGAAGCTTAAAATCAAATGATTTTCCTGCTGTAATTGGACCACTAACAATTTGTCCTGTTCTGCATGTTCCCGAATGACTCCATACATCTTTATGTCGAGTCTTTGAAAAAACATCGACTTTCTTTATTTGTTCGGTAGTTTGTGAGTTTGAAGTTATATATGCTTCTTCTCTTGCGTTGTCTTGAGAATATACGATACGACCATTTGCAAGGATTTGATATCCAGCAACTGCATAGAAAGCGTCATCGAAACCAATCCAAAATCCTGGTGGGTTTGTTTTATTGGAACCTGAACCAATTTCTTTATCTACAATAAATTGACCTTCCATTTTATACGTAATGAATGTATTGTAAAGGTCCAACATATTTTCACCAGGAGGTGAGAGATTGAATGTTACCCATGTGTTATCTTTAGCAGTTCCAGGTTGTGATGGAATCTTTGCGTCAGAATATTTTCTATTAGTGTCACCAATTTGAACTGCATTGTCTATGATATCGAAATATGAGCGAATCTGATGAATATGCTCTGCTGGAGTAAATTCGTTTAACTGTTCGTTCTGCATGTATTTACTTCAGATAAAAATATCTATTTACTTCATTATTCTCACTCTTCTTCTTGGTATTCGTGGTGGAAGTTGTTTCTTGACATTTTCAATGAACTGTACATTCTCTTTTGTCTCAACTTCTTTCACTGGCGGGTCAGGGTTCTTTGACTCGGTTTGTTTTTCAATGAAATTCACGAACTTTGCAATAAGCTCTTGGTTCGTTATTGAAAGTACATCTGGCTTCTTTTCTTCTTGTTCTTTTGGTGGCTCAGTTTGAACAGAAGGTTTTATATGGGCTTCGTGGACTTCACCCTTGCCATGCACCTTAATGTTGTCGCTCTCTGCATTCGCTAATGGTACCTTTCTTTTTCTTACGTATATTTTACCATCTTTACTCTGACTTACGTAATAGAAAGGATGTTGTATTCCTCTTGCGTCATTTAATATAATAGACTCTCGCTCTGATTTTGACAAGCTCATTTTACATCGGTTAAAGTTTTAATTTAGTTTTTTATCTGCAGTCAAATGACTCAGACAAGCCCTACGGACAAGACCCAAGGTGTCATAGATGTTGAAGCATTGAAGAAAGAAATTCGTGAGCAAATTTTATCCGAACTGAAGGAACAAAAACAAGAACAAAAGCCAGAGAGACCAAAGAGAAAACTTAGTGAAAAACAACTTGCTGCATTAGCTGCTGGAAGACAAAAGAACCCACGTTTGCTGGCGAAGAAAGCTAGAGAAGAAGCTGAAGCAAAAGCTAGAGAAGAAGCTGAAGCAAAGAAAGAGTAAATGGTTTATTTTTATCCAAACTAAATGTATAGACAAATACCTTTATCTGTTGCGTTCAGTAGTGAAAACCCTGACGTCAAAATAAAGGGGAACAGAGTAACGTTTAAGTTTCCAACAGACTGGATTGTGAACATAAATGAAGAGAAGTACATTGGCATAACATCTATGTATATAACACGTGCTTTCAGAAAGGTTGACTTTATACTTCAAGTCGAGATAGAAAATGACGAACAGTCTTTAAGCGCCCAAAACATTCACATATACAAATACTTTAAAGACGATACAACATTGTTGCAATGTATGATTTCATTTAATGAGATGTTCGAGAAAAAGTTCAACATTGAAGTACAAACTTTACAGCCTTTACGTGAGTTTCTTGCACAACTGAAGGAAGAAGGTAGTCGGCCACAACTTATAGACTTTCATTATGAATTTAATGAAAATGAAGATGGAACTCATGACTGTCAATTCATTGTATTCTCACCATTCAATGAAGTCGCTAAAAAGAAAGAAAATCCATTACGTATAAGATTTCAAATCTCCGAACCAAGTGATGATTTTAAGAATGTTTTCAATTATGATGCAATGCTTCCGAGGAAAAATGAATTTTCAAAGATTGTAACACCTGGCATTTGGGATAGAAAGCAAGCAATACTTTACTCTAATATAGCCAAAGGCGTTGAAAATGAGTTCATTGGTCATACAAGAACTTCACCACTTCCTAACCCTAAATACTATAAATTAACTGGCTTCAATCGTGAGTTTTGGATAGACATGTTCTCCACTCATGACCATAACTGCCCAGTGTTCTTACCTCCAGACCATAAGGACTGTCTCTACATTGAAGCACAACTCTTAAACTCTACCATCGCAGTATTGTAAAATCTACGCTAGCTTTATTTTTATCACGAATGACCTCATTGCTGACAAAATAAATGACCTATCATGACCTCATTATTTTTATCACGAATGACCTCACTTCTGACAAAAATAAATGACCTCATTCATGACCTCATTATTTTTATCACGAATGACCTCACTTCTGACAAAAATAAATGACCTCATTCATGACCTCATTATTTTTATCACGAATGACCTCACTTCTGACAAAAATAAATGACCTCAGAACTTCAACTTACGAATAAAGCTTGTTTTAGTCGTTATTGAAAAGTTGAACTTTTCAGCAAAGCAAGGTTGACATGACTTACATAAGTCGAATGCAATCTCTTGACCGTCATGAAGTGCTTTGTAAAGTTTCATTAAACTGAACTCAGAGTCTTTGTCATATGTTCCAACAGGTATGTGAATGTTCTTATCTTCATTGTAATAGCATTGTATAGCTTCAGGAAACATTTCATTAGCGGTTAAAGCAATAACATCTTGCTTCACGCCTTTCATTCTGCAGTGAAATGCAACTTCATTTAAATCGTTAGTGAGTAAGTCTATGTAGGTCTTCTTTCCACAGAAAATACTTTTATAAGCTAAACTTTGTTTTCCAGGTGTTATTTCTGCAAAGTCGCTATGAAATTGACCAAGGTTCTTTCCTATAAGTTCTCTACCGTATCTCTTCTTAAACTCTGCTGCAAGCTTTGGGATGTCTTCATTATATAAGTGCATACTGTCGGTATCCTGGTAAAATATTTGAAACCCATGTCCTCTGCAGTACAGAATACTTCATTCATAATACGTTTTGACATAGACAGAATATTAACACCAAGTGGACAGAAGTTAAAGTGTCTGCAAATGCTTTTCGTTAGCTTGAAAATAGTTTTATCTGAACCATCCAAACCTTCGAACTTCACTATATGGTTGTAATTTCTTATAGCATATCTTATAGCATCTTTGTCATCTACTATGGTTATTTTTGACTCAATAGGAGATAGAATAGTTTTGCCATAAATGCTGTTCAGAATGAGTTTTATAATTTCTTGTAAGGGTTTTCTTCTTTCTTATACTTTAACCTTAACTCAAAAACCTTCTTTACTTCATCTCTTATTCTCATATCTCTGTTTCCATCGTAATAGTATCCTTGCAACACTTCACATTTGACACCTTGATATTTTATGAGGTCTTGTAATGTTATATGGTCAACATACATGAGACAGCAAGTGTTTGAACTTCTTGGAACGTTAAGTTCTGGATTTAGTTCAGGGTCGCAAACTATTAAATGAAAGTGTCTGGGTATTACCAATCTCTGTTATCTTAATGAGAACAAAGAAGCCAGACATAAACTTTTCACCAATGGGTTCCTTTTGGTCGTCATCGAATAAATGTCTCATGAGATACTCTGTGCTTAACATTTCTTCCTTCAATACTTTTGGAATACCTTCTAAAGTATAAAGTCTTGCTATAGCTGAAGGATATAATGAAACAGTGTCGAAGTCAGCAATGAGTTTCTTTTTGCTCTTTTGTTTCATGTTATCTGACAACATACATCTTCCACCTTGAATGCATCTCGAAATAAATTCTCTTGGTTTATTTGAGAGGTCATAAAGATTTCCATTCGGGAAGTATACTCTGTTCTCAAACAATTTGTTAGCAATAGAACAAATACTAACGTAGTCATAAACGTTTAAATCAAACTCTTTCAATAAGTCATTGCGGAACTTTACAAAACCTTCTCTTAAAATTCTTACATCTTGTTTGCAGTAAAACGTGCTATATTTTTCTAAGTCGAAGTGGTTTTCATCTATTCTGCAACCTTTGATGGAATCTATGTTCTTCATAAATGTATCTGCATCATGGATAAACTTACATGCTTCAGAAATGACACCAGTTCTGTTGTCATTTGCTAACAAAACACTGCTTGTAGTAGTTATATGGAAATACTTCTTTCGGTCCTGTTTGTAAGTTAAACATAGCAGGAAATAGTTTAAGCTTCTTATTTATAACACTGTAAGAGTCTTTTATAATAATTGCCCGTCCTTTATATAAACCAGTTATTTGCATTGTTCGTGAACCTTTAATGATGGGAGTTCCTTTCACTTCTGTCATGTGTCTTAAGATGAAGTTTATGTCATAACTGAGGTTATGGAAATATATTAAACTCTTGTCAGGAAGTCTTTCCAAAAATTCTGTTGCACAGTTTTGACCCCAAATACTTTCACTAACTGAACCATCTTCACTGTCATAACAGATGTTAAAAGCTTTATGAAAGCCATCCGTACTACACTCAAAGTCAGCAAAGAAAACGTGCTCAGGAATGAATTTACATTTAGCTTTATTTACTTCTTTTGACTCTGCTTTCTTCTTCAGTTGTACACAATACTTTGGAGCATATGTCAAATCTTTAAATGGTGCAAGGTTCTGTTTATATAAGTCAGTCGTATATGTGAAAAGTTCTCCATAAGAAATAGGTTCGAAATATTTGCACTCCCACAATGTTTTCATAACATCCCATAACGGTGTTGTTCTATCATAACGAACTACATATTTATCTTCTCTCTTTGTATAAATCTTCATCTGTTTCTCAATGTTCATTCCACCACAAGCTTGAGAATTTCTTTATAGTTTCGAATGAAATATGTTGTCATTGGAAGTCTTTCATTTAGCATGTAGTGGTCTTCAACAAGAAGTAAGTCAATAGTTCTAACAGTTTCGCATTCTTTTGGTATATATCTCTTTATTTCATTATGTCTTGAGTCATTGAAATAACCAATGGTAACATTGAATGCTATACCAGTTGCGTCAGAAATTTCTTGTACTTTACTTTGAGGAAAGTCTCTAACACGAATGACTTCTCTCATGTGGTCAATAGTTTCTTCATTTACTCCAGCCTGAATACAAGCATAAACGAAACAATTGTCCTCTGTCATAAGTGTTGCAGTTCTTTTGTTCAGTTCATTGAAGATTTGGTAGCGTTCAAGATTTATAGGTAATATGCAAAGATACTTCCATAACTGACCGCTTCTTCTTATAAAACTTCTTTTCACCATTATCTTTCCAAAAGCTTTCTATAAGTGGGTTTCCTGTTTGCTTAAGAGCTTCCAAAATGGCTTTCTGGTCATTTGTCAGTGTGCTTTCATCTCTATATGGTCTCTTTTTTGGTTTGCCTTTCTTTACATCTGACATCGTTAAGCCTTCATATTCTGTTAAATCATACATCTTTATTTCGGTAAGATTCTTTTGTTTGTCAAGAAGAAGTCATAGTGCATTTCAACAATACCTGCAGCATTTGCTTCTATCTCTGATATAAAGTTCTCCTTCAAGAGCTGATGTAGTAATGTTCCAATATTATTGAGGTTTAACGTAGAACATTCATACTTTCCACCAAGTTTATAACATACCATCCATCTCTGTTGGGAGTTTATTTTAATTTTCTCTAAGAGTCTCATGAAAACCTTACCAAAATGTTTGTGTAAGTAGTCTCTGTTTGGTTCATCTAAAGCTTCGATGTTAAAGTCAATGAGTCTATTGCCTGACTTCACATTTCTCTTCCTATTCTTCATCTTTCTTTAACCATCTCTCACCTTCTTTTGGTTTGTCGTCAATGGAACGAATGACATCGTTAGCTTTGCGAACTTGTTCTATAGCACTTTTAAACATCTTCTTCTCTGTTGTTTCAGTGTGTCATCTCTCTTTCGTGTTTCACCAACGTTTGCATTTGTTATGTCAAACATTTCTCTTCTTACTTCATGTGGTACAGCTCTTCTTGTTTCACCAACGTTTGCATTTGTTATGTCAAACATCTCTTGACGAACGTCATGTGAAAGAGCTTTACGAGTATGACCAACGTTTGCATTTGTTATGTCAAACATTTCTCTTCTTACTTCATGAGGTATTGAACGTCTATGATATAAGTCAATAGCAACGTCATTTAAAGGAAATGCTCTTGCATGGACTTCGTCCTCGCCGCGTTGCGGCTTTATGAACTCATGAATTCTATCATAAGTTATTTCACCATTATAGTCATTGAGGATGTCAGCGAGTGCCTTTTTGTTTGTTGTGTAATGCTTTGCAACATCTATATTAGCTTCTGTAAGAAGTTGTTTTATTTCCGAGTGTTCTAACTTAGACAACTTCCGATACATCTTTAGTAGGAAATAAAAAAAATATTTTTGAAAAAATTAGATTAGATTTTTTTAAGTTATTTTTCAAAATAATTTAATATTTTTATTTTAATGAAACACATGCAAGATTGCAAGTTCTTTTCATACAATGCTCTCGCTACTGTCATCAAGAATGAGTTCAATAATGCTTCAAACGTCAATGTTATCTTTAACAAGAAGTTTGTGAAAGAATCTAAGTTTGGTCAGTATGTCAGACCATTAGCTACTGTCATTGACCGCAAACGTTATACTTCACAAGAGTTAGCAGTAGTTTTGAAACAAAAGGGTTTCTTCGTGAATGTCAAAGATACTCATTATACTATTATAAAGAACTCCAACATTGACTTCTTCAGTATTGCTATGAATCTTTCCGAACAGAAAGAATATAAGAAGGGTGAAACAAATGTGAAATATTATTCTTCATCTCTGAAAACAATAACGAACAAAGATGTTATACAAAAGTTCTTACCAAAGGTTGAAGAAGCTTCTATTGACATTGACGAAGGAAGTGAAATGGTTGAAGAAATTGACCCTGACGTCATTTAAGCAAAAATATATTTTTGGTTAGTCTTCATATCGATATTTTACAACAATTCCCCAATGTATAAACTTTTCATACGCTTTTTCATAAGCTTTATATACCTTCAGAAATTTTGCATAATCTTTAGAAGCATTTAGATATTGTTTAAATGCTTTGTATGTCTTCAGAAATTTTGCATAATCTTTTACATGTTGTTCGTTCTCTTCTTCTGTCATGAGTTCCGAATATTCTAAATTCATGTTCTTTCATATGAGATAAAATTTTATAAAAAAATAAAATTAGCTTAGATTTTTTATTCTTCCTCTTTGAAGTTATCGAAATATTCTGTTATTTTTTCCTTCAGTAATGTTAAGTCTTCTTTGAATGTAAGTATTGTGCAACCTTTGATGTCATAGTGTGTTTGAGGAAGAGTATTTTTGACAATTTCCTTTATTTGCTCATTCGGTGTCATTGAAATCGGTAAGTTTTCACGATAGAACCAGTTTCTGTCAGATTTGTAAATCTTAGCAAGGTCATAAAAGCTTTTGTTGTTTCTTCTGACTAAATGCAACATAACCATATCTCTATCTTCTTCTTTCTCCAACTCTTCAGTATATATCATATACTTATAACTCTTTTCCTTTCCTTTTGGTACCGAACGTGGTATTCTTTTCTGTATGCTTTTGTCTTTGGATTCAATGACTTCATCTTTTGCTTGAAGTTTCTTTTCCATCTCTCCACGTTCTTGTCTATGAATTTCGTCAAGAAGTCTGTAAACATGCCATGCATAACGAGGAGAAGCCCACATTGCAACTGCATTTACTAAAAGTCTATGAACATAATAACCTCTTAAATTTATTGGCAAATTTTTACGATTTTCATGTGTTTTATGCATGACCGAAAAAAGTCGGTCTAGAGAAATTTCACTCAAAAGTTCTTGTGTGCTTTGGTTTTTGAACCAGTCGTCTGCGTGTTTAGTGTCTGGAGCAAAACATGCTGTCAAAATACTTTGCATTTGGTACATATCGTCTTTGACCGAACGAATGAGACGGAGTTGTTTGTTAAACTGAACCCACTCGTATTCTTCATTTATGGCTTCATGGACTATAACTGTTGTTGTGTTCTCTAATGTTGACATTACTGTCTTTACATACAAAATAAAAAAATAAATAAAAATAAAACTAACTTTATTTTTCTGTGTTAAAGAAATGTTAAAAATTCAGGGTTACATATGTGAAAAGAAGTCACGAACAAATGAAGGTCATAAGATTCAGCACATAATTCTGAATTGAATGGTGTGTCATACATGTCAAGCCGTCAAGAATTGAAGGAGATACGAGGCTATAAAGATTTTGGATATTTTCTGACACACACCCTGAGGGAAAAGTGACAAAACACGACGATAGAAAAAAGTGACAAAATGGGAGAAAGTTGTTCCCCGACCAAAATGCAATCATGTCGAAAAAGTGACATTTGTAAAGTTAGACGATAGGATTTCCTGAAAAAGTGCAAGACTTGTTCTGAATCAGGACAAGATTTGTCTTGAAAAAATACAAGACTTGTTCTGAAAAAATACAAGACTTGTTCTGAAAAAATACAAGACTTGTCTTGAATCAGGACAATTGTTCTCAAATTTGAGAACTTTACAAGAAAAACTGACTAAAAAGTGCAAGACTTGTTCTGAATCAGGACAAGATTTGTCTTGAAAAAATACAAGACTTGTTCTGAAAAAATACAAGACTTGTTCTGAAAAAATACAAGACTTGTCTTGAATCAGGACAAAACTTTACAAAATGTAAACTTTACATAACCGTTTCTATCGTACATGATATTTAGTTGACATTGTAAACTATCTTCATGTAAAGTATGGCGGTTTGAAACAGTCGGGAACCTTCACTTTTTTGACGAACTTTCCGCAGCAATTTTTAAAATTTGTGAAAACTCAACGGTTTGACACGTGCCATATGTCATTTTACTCAGAATTTTGTGCTGAATTCAGCAAAAATAATGTTTATGTTAACATGTTAGATCTAACACGTTTTCTAACCTCTTTTCTAACATAACTATTTACAAGCGTTTACATGGTATATGTTGCGATGGTTCATGACTTTAAACAGTTTTGTAGCTTCTATTTCTTTTTAGTACATCGAATGTTTTAACTATGCCGAAGGTTTCTTTATACTTCTTCTTGACGTCAGATAATAGGAAATCGTCAGCAGTTGGATAGTTTTTGTTCAGAAATGCTAACATGTCCATTTTATCTTCTGCTGGCTTTTCTGCTTCTTTCTTTAATCTGCATAGTCGTTTCTCATTCTTTCTATCTCTTTGTTGGAGTAGTTATATTTCCTAATTGCTGCCTTACATTTTGAACATTGCGGGTTCATTTTTGCGTTATACATTGAAAACCAGCTAAAACAACTAAAGCGTCAATTGCTCTCTTCATCTCAAACATAGGGTCTTATTTGTTTGTTCCATACTTTGCCTCTTCTATCTTTATCTCTTATTTCCCAAACACATTCAGCAACTAACGAAACAAAGTTGTCGTAGGTCTTAAATTCTTCAGATTTATATATGTCAGAAACATTCTTATATACCATATCGCAATCTTTGTCCATAACCTTATGGTTGCAATGAAAACCAAGGAATTCATAATTTACCTTTCGTATGAATTTTTAATTTCTACTGAGTCAGTTGGTTTCACTTCAATTTCGTCGAATTCAGGAATAGTGAGTTTTTGTTGTTGGATTTCAGGTAGTTTAGGCAAATGGTCAATAATGTCCTGCATTTCATAAAGATATTCTTCATTTGTTTCATCTTTCGCACTACAGTCTAAATTACTTGTTAAAAGTTCTTGCTTTATCTTCTGGATTTCTGTTTCAAAAGTATATGAAGAAGGAATGAAGCTTTTCATTTCTACTAACATAGATGTTGGATTCATGACTAACGAGTTTGGTGCTGTTGTTTGAATTGTTGTTGTGCCGATTGTTGAAATCATATCTTTACATACAAGATAAAAATTTTTCTTAGAAAAAAATTAGCGTTATTTTTCTTTCATAAGGAAATGTCAAAAATTCATGATTTTCGAGAGTTTTAGACCATGTTAGAAAAGTGGTTAGAAAACGTGTTAGATCTAACATTCTAACATAAACATTATTTTTTGGTGTAAATAAATGGTACCATTAATAATTCCATGACTGTTCTCATTCATGTCTGATTTACATCTAATGAAAAAGTTTAGAAGAATTTTCTTATTCTTTCTGGCATATTTTTGTCTTTCCAGTACTCCCGCTCTAATGGTCCCAGATGTGTTGGCTTTGACTCTCTCAAGTTCTTAGATGGTATAACATCTTCAACGCCGCCTTCATATCTTACTTTATAAGTGTCATCGTTTGTGTTGTAGCCAAGTATTTCAATAACCACTCCTCGCTTTGCTTCGTCAATGGTTTCAGCAAGTTTGCCATTACTACTTTCAACTAATTTGTGACGGGTAAACGCAATAGAGTCGTCAGCAGCTTTTATAAGATATCCATTACCTTGCGTAGAGTCTACGATATAATAATTTCGACTTACCTTAATTAAACGTTTCTTTGTCAACGGTTTGTCGTCAAGAACTACACGAACTTTTGTACCAGGAATGAGGGTAAATTGTGTTGAATTTCTGATATTTTGTGTTTGGCTTCGTTTCTTTTGTATATACTTTTCTTCTTGTTGTTGTGTCATTGAATTTGGTGTATGTCCTGTTGTAGAATGTGTTGAGGAATTATATACTTCGAGAAAATGTTTCATTGTTTCTTCGGTAAAGTCTCGCTCTTGGTTTAAATCTCTGAGCGTTCTTATGAAGCGGTTTATGATGCCGAGTATGTTATGGTTATGGTCTTCAGTAGTGTAGTGAGTTATGTTATGCTTAATGAGAAATTCTGTGATTTCATTGCTGAGGTATGCACTGTCTTGGTCTGATGTTAAAGTACTTGGGCTATGTTCTGCTACAAACTTTTGTAAAACTCTTAACACTTCACGAGTTCCTTTATTCCTCATTGGATATGCATATGCTTTACGAGTGTTAACATTAATGAAGATGAGGAATGGTTTATGTCCTCCTTTTCTGCTTTGAATGAGAGTGTCAAATTGGTATGCGTCAGGAGTGTTGGAGTAAATTGGTAAAAAGTAGTCGTAAGGGTTTATTTTTGTTTGATGTACAACATTTTTTTAAAGAACCTTTTCACTTCAGCTCTGTTAGTAAATCCCCAACTCTTTGCAGCTTCATTGAATTTCTTAAAGACCTCCATGGATGTTGTTCGAATACTTCTTTCAAGCTCATTTATGTAAAGTTAAAGATTTTATTCTAGGCTCAAGCGCGTTCATTGAACGCGGTACCATGCGAATATAGTCACAAATGGTGGCATATAATCTTCACCCGAGCCTGTTGGATTTGTTGTGAAAGTGTGTGAATGATTTCCTGTGGTTCCACAGAAAATACCTGTGCTTGAATCTACTGGGTCACTTGAAATATCATATCTATGCATTCCCTGTCTATCCGAACCTGCTGCAAGATTTGTATAACCTCTTTTTGTTATTGAATGTGAATGACTACCTGTTGTGTTTGTAGTTCCTGTATGAGTGTGCGGTGGAAGGTTTGCTTCTTTAATTTTCTTCGAACCACCTGTTTGCTTTGAAGAGTTCGCACAGTATAAGAATTTATCTACAATCTGCTCCCACGTACCGAAACCCAGAACTGTTGCTGGATTTATTGAGTTCATTGACGTATAAATAGAGCCTGCAGGATATAATGTTTGAAGTATTTCAGTCTTTAATGTTTGAAGCTCTGTTTTGTCAGCCTTCTTGTCATATAAATTGAGCAGTGAATTTAATATTTATTCATCCTTCATGACATAAACATCTTTACATCTAATGTTTCTCATCGTCGTTATGTCGTCATCCGATGTTAAACCTTGTGGAAAGTTAGGAGGTTTACAATATAATGCATCCCCACCAGTTTCTTCAACCGTTCCTTCAATACTTTCTATAGCAACAGTTGTAAAACTTGTATGTGTATGGTTCTTGTCAGCTTTACTGTCTAACATTGCTGGTAGTTCATGGGTTTCAAAGTTTCTGGCATGACCTTCAATGTTCATACATTTACTATTTAAGGAGTTTAGTGTATCTTTTACGCTTGTACTTGGATTCTCTAAAGGTGCACTTGAACCAAGGGTATAGTTCAATATTATGTCGTCTGCTCTAACAGTAGTGAAGAATTTATGTGTATGGTTCTTGTCGGCTTTACTGTCTAATGTAGCTTGAAGTTCATTTATATCGGAGATGTTGTGTTTATGAGATTTCAAAACTTTGTTCATTGCTTCGAGTTCAACTTTGTCAGCTTTACTTTTAATAGCATCTTCAAACGTTATTTTTGACTTAACTCTCAAAGTAAATCTTGGTTCAACTAATACACCTTTAACAGAGAAAGTAGAGGCATAAATTTCATCGTTATAACTAAATGCTTCTGGTGCTTTACCCGTGTCATACTGTACAGTACAGCTTATGTCATAACCTTTAGCACGAATGTATTTATATCTTCTTTCATTGGGGTCTTCCGTCTTCACTTCTTCAGTTCGTGTTAAATATCCATGGTAGTCCGTTATAATCTGTTCGTCTGAAGTTATATAATGAACATGGTTTTTATCTGCTTTTTCGGCTAATTTCTCTTCTATCTCATTTATTTCAAGTTCATGCCTACCACCACCTCCCGAAGAAGTATTTTTTTCAGCTCTTGAAGAACGTCCACTTCGCCATCTTTGGTGTCAATAATGAGACTTTGTGTTAAAACCTTTCCTGTCTTAATGGATGTTTGTAAAACTTCTTCTTCACCATGTTCGGGTCATGGTCGTCATCATATCTTGTGAAATCAGAGATGTTGTCATACATTAAGCATATCTGTCTCAAAAGTTCTGCTATTTGAAACTGGAACGAAAGATATACAGAACTTTCATCATCTCCTAAAGTCAAGTCTGCTTTCTTAAGTATTTCTTGAATGCATGCAATGAGAACAGAGTACCTTGGAAAATATTCGAACAATATTTCATTAGCTGTTGGTTTTGGTGGTTCCTCTGGAGTTTCTGTTGTTTCAGTTCCTTCTGTAGGTTCTGTTGGAGTTTCTGCATCTCTTGACTTCAATGCTCTTGCTCTCAAAGACCTAAATGTTAGAGCACCAGGTTTTACAAAGGACTTTATAAATGCTTTAATAGTTCCTGGTAAGTTATTGTTAGCATTAAGTAAGTTCCTTATGCTTCCATCATGTACGTCCATAGCACTATGTAAAAAATCTATACTTTTCTTGTAGTCAGCAATAGACTGACTGTGATTTTTTAAAGATTTGTCAATACCTTTAAGCCAATCTTCATGCATGTCTGATACTGAGCCAAGAATATCATTTGCTTCCTTTAGTGTATTTTGTGCTTGTCGTAAAGTATCCAATCCCGTACGTGCATTGTTTGCTATACGTCTTACAGTATCTATTTGACTCCTTGTTTCTTGCATCCAACCAGATAAAGTTTTAATAGTATCCGAACCATTTGAAATGAAGTTCAAAGCATTTTTAACGTCATTTAAAGCTTCTTCACCAAGTACTGCCCATATCTTTCCGATTTGGTATTGAAGAACTCCATATGAAGCAGCTGTTAAACCAGTATTTATAAGGTCCCATATCCATGATTTAGCAGTTTTTCCATCCTTTCCATCCTTTCCATCCAAACCGTTTTCGCCTTGTATTCCTTGTATTCCTTGTATTCCTTGTATTCCTTGTGGTCCTTGAGGTCCGGTGTCACCCTTCTCTCCTTTCAGTTCATCTTTATGTTCGTTATAATATTCTAATGTCATAAGGTGTACATCATTACTGTTACCAGCAACGCCAAGAATTTGTTTCTCATTCATGACTAAATTCTTTAGGCATTTAATGTTGTCGTCAAATCGAAAGCTCTTTAACAATTCAATGAGAACATTTAATACTTTCACTAATGAGGCATCTACTGTAGAATTTATATATTGCACCGTTCCATCATTTATGATAGGAACCTTGCTTGTTGTAATGAATGGGTCATAAGTGTTAAAAGTATCGAAATCAATGACTTTTTTAGTTTTTCCATCGTCAATGACTAAATCATTGCCTTCAATGGTTAAAGTTGAGTTTTCGTTTACTAGTTCATGTGCTCTTCTTGCTTCATTTGTTTCATACGCATATGCAGCAATAGTCATATTTTAATGAGAATAAAATGTTGTTCTATTTGCAAAGTACAGACCCAAACGAATACGGAATAGTAAAGCTACAAACAAACTTAGGTCTACAGAATGAAGCACTTGCTTTCAGAGTTGTTGACTTCAATACTATCGCAACTTTTGTCATAACAGATGAAACAGATTTCATGGAGTTTGAAATAGATGGAAAGAAGCACGAAATAAGATTTCACAATAATGTAGAATATAAGATGGAAACATTAGCTGGAGTGTTAAATGCTCTCATAAATACTACAATAAACAAGGATAACGAAGAAAACTTAATGAATGTTAAACTTATTGCAGGAGTTTTGAAGTTCAGTTATGCGAAGGAGTTTAAGATAACACGAATGAGTCATAGAGTTCAATTGCTTCTGGGTGCATACCATATGACATTTCCTTTGAAAAGTGTTGACAAAACGATTGAGATGAAATCTGTTCCATACGTATGTTATGGTAATTGTTTGTACATTGAGTCTAAAATAGCTAATGTCACAGGTATTTCAGGAGTTAATAGTAAAGGTTCAGTAGAATATAAGTCTTTCTGTTATGCAGTCAATTCAATGTTCATTCCAAACGTTCCTGTCATAGCAACTCATTTAGGTAAATGGGTTCGCATTTGTCCTCATAATTTGAAAGACATGCAATTCAGACTAGTTGACTTTCAAGGAGAGCCTGTAGAACTGAAGGCACCAGTGCGAATGACTGTTGAAGTTGACTTTTTAGAAAATATTAAATGCAACAGCTTACAAGAGAACTCAGAGCTAAAAATATAAAGTATGAATGTTATGTATTAGGTCATGAACTTTGGTTGTTGCTGTTTGATGAAACAAATGAGTTAGTTATGTCAGTCAAGAGAACAGAAAAAGGCGTCAAAGGCGCCGAGCGCAAAGCGCTATATTGTGTAGTGAAAACTGCACCAAGTCAATAAGATTAGGTTTGCATTATGAAGATGAGTTCGATACTGTTGAAGAAGTTTTGATAGATACTATAAGTTGCTTTAATTTACTAAAACATATTTCAAACAAAGCTTATATTCTGTTGAAAGTTTTGTATATTCGTTCGAATATTTATACTTAAACTCAACTCCTGTAGTTCCTGGTGTTTCAATGATGCGGATGTTACCTATTTCATGAATGGTGGCGTTTGACCACAGCATTCGATTTCAGGGTCGAGATAGTCAATGACACATTGTTTCCCTGTTATTCGTGATATAACATTTTCAAGGTCCTCCTTTGTTAGAATTATTTGGTTCTTACTTATAAGATTTATCAAAAGCTTCTTATCGTCTTTGAGTAAGATAGTTTGGTATAACTGAAGAAGGTAATGGTCTACGTTATCTGAAGGATTTGTTTGAACATTTATGTAAGGGTTGTCGTTGGCTTCTCTTGAAAGAATTTGGTCCAGTGGTGGATACTCTAACTTAACATCTGATGTAGCGTTAGCGTTTGAAGCTGTGTTTAAATTCACGGATTTCAGTTCTGGTTCTTTTTCTTTCAAACACTCCGAACTATAGTTCTTTATGACAATATTGTTTGTCGTTCGTGAGTCAACATTTGATGTTGGTTCAATTGGAACATTAACGGCACCAGCTAAGATGGATTTGTTCTCATTTCATATAGAATAAAAACCTTTTATATGTATGAAATGAACAATATACTCGACAAGGTTTGAATGTAAAGCTAACGATGAAAATATTGTTGAATTCACTGAGACAGGAGCTGTGTATATAAGATGTAGAACTACTGAACAAAAGAGCTAAGGGAAGAAGCAGGAACATGAACAAAGGGTGGAAGCCTATAAAAATTTATGTCATGATGGCTCAGGAGGTTCAAACATAAAGTATGCAGAAAGTTATAGAGTTTATGCTCTCAAAGGTGAAAAGCCTTCATTTAAGAACAGCTATTCTAACGCATATCCTCAAAAGCTAACGGATGGGGAAGTGGATGATATGAATGACAGCAAAAATTAAACAGAAATGGCGACAGAGATGCATGGAATTTGTTTACCATCAGTCAATTAAAGCATAAGATTTAAAACAATGTTGGTCGTTCCCATGGAATATTTTTGACTTTAATGGTATTAGTCATGATATGAATCTCAAGGTATGAACGAGGAGAGATGAGAGACTTATATGCTTCCCAAATTTCTTTCAAAAGGTAATGTTTATACCTGACTGTTTCCAAATGAGTTCAATATCATAGCGTGAGAAACCTTGAAAGATAACGAAGTCAGTTATGAGACGTTTTATGTTAAAGCAAGGAAACGCCATGTTTGCATAAGTATTGCTACAGTTAAATGGTAATGTCTGACTTTAGTTATGATGTTAGCTAATGGTGAGTCAGCTTTGACACTAACCTTTTCCGGCGAAGTCGTCACAAACGAGCAAGTGTTTGAAGGATACTTTTTGAAGGGGTATTTTGAAAAGTTTTGATAGAATGTAGTTTGTCAGTCGTTTCATATCGTAAACTCCTGAGTATTGACGTAAGTGGTGTTTGTCAATAATTCTTTCCATCTCTTCTGAAGTCTTTTGCATTCCTGACTGTATAAACTCTACAATAGCATAATATTTTCTCTTACGTCGAATGTAACGTTGAAGAAATTCAATGAGTTCGCTATCTGGAACTTTAACGACAGATGCTGAACTTTACTCATGAATGTTTTCGCTGTTGAATCCATAGAGTCTGAAGTTGCTGATATAATGATTTGGTCATAGTAAGAGTCGTTCCTAAACGCTCTGTTATGAGTATATGACGAATGAGGTTAAATGTCTTACCTGAACCCATCTTTCCACAATAGAAATACACACCATTTGAACAGAATTCATAATCTTTGCTGAAAGGAAGAATGAGAGAAGAGTTAAGTTTGTCTGTAGTTTCATTCATGTCTTCATCTACGTTCATGTATTAAATGCTTCATTTTATCTCCATTAAAAATGCAAGTCAGAAATTTTCAGAACATAGCACCGAGTCTAACTGACAAGAGTATAAAGATATACTATGAACGTTATGATGAAACCAACCAAAATTCAAGAAAGTCAGTATACTTATGAATATCCAAGACACTGGTAGAGTATGTAGGAGGTGAGAAGCTATTGAAATCAGACAGGTTCGAAGTATTCCAGCAGGAAGAACAATATTATTGAAGAACTTTAATGTTTTGAGATATAATGATGAAACAAAGAAGCAAGATAGTTTCCCTGTTGCTGTGTATGTGAACCTAGACACAGGAGATGACATGAAAGTTTTTAACACAAAGCTTCAAACGTAGTGAGAGAACAACTGACTGCGGAAGGGCATCC